GTAAGCAGGATACATGAATACAGATGTGTAGTAATTCCCTATGAGCATGATATCTACCCCTTCGCATGCATGGTTACCCTTCCCTTTGTCACTAATCACCTCAGAAGTTTATTACAAAAATTATTACAGTCCAAAATAAAGAAACTACATCAGAGAAAAAAAAGAATAAAATTACAACCAAGGAGAGCCTGATTCAGGTTTCCCGCCTGAAGCGTGAAGTAAACCAACTCCAAAGATCAAGATCCAAAGCCTTTCTCATTTGGGGTGTGTCAGAGTTCCCTAAGAGCCTCATGTGGACTCCGGGCAGTGCTCACACTCAAATACATTGCAGGATTGAGTCATAGTGCAGTGTGGAAAGGCCAGCCCTCAAGTGTCCAAGTTCAGAGGGAACTCAAGGTCCCAAGACATGGCTCAAAAGAGGGGGGCAGAACTTAGAAGCTAAGAGTGATTGTAAGTGCATAGAAGGACTTCTGAAAAAGGGGAAAAGGGAAGTGACAAAGACAGGCTAGTGGGCATACCTAGCAATAGAAAATGCTGGCACACCCCACCAGCCCGTTAGAACACATTGTTTTGGGAGTTAGGATCCCCAAAGGGATCGGGTCAAAACATGAACAATAACTTGCATATTGTCATGTTCTGAACTACAACTCAAAGCACATAGAGGGAAACATGGGTGTAGGGATTCACAGCAGAAATGGTTGAAAGGATATTAACATGCTAGTTGACATTTAACTCCATACAGACAGTAAAGTAAACATGGATGTAAAAGCTGTAGGTAAAACACATTGGGGTGATGCTGAAACCAAAACTAGAACATACCAGTCTCAAGTAATCAAGCAAAAGAAAGCAGTAGTCTTGTAAAGCCAAAGTGCAGACAAGAAGCAAGAATACCCCAAGTATGAGTTTTGTGAGATTACAAGTGTGAAATCTGAAGTGTAAAAATGTTGAATTAACCGTTGTTTGATCGTATTAACCGTGTGTAATGTGTTAAAGAAGGTCATGTATTTATAGTGTAGAAGGCAAACAGAGAATAATTTGGAAAATCAGTTGCCAATCAATTACACAAGTTTTTCCTTTAACTAAGGGATTCAGATTTCGAATGGTAAAACTAATTAAGGAACTAAATTAATCAAACACTTTGTGTAAGGTAGTATAATAGGGGTAAATACATAAAGGTATATTTAAGGAAAAAGGTCTTGACAGCACACAGTTTGTGCAAATAAGGAAAGGAAATCAATTACCAGCCAGTAAATCACAAGGTCTGAATGAATCCAGTCAGAAAAGGTGAAGAAAGGTTTTACTTAAGGAAAATCAGTAACAATCAATCAAACCTAAAAAGGATTCTGAATCAATCATAAGTTGGAAAACCTTTTCGGAAGAAAGAATTCATCACACATATAAAAGCATACAACCACGCTTAAACACGAAGAAATTTGTCATGCTATTCAATATAAGAGTCTAGTGTAGAAGAATTTAAAAGTTCAGAGTCGTAAACAAAGAAGTTCAAACTTAGTTCATAGACTCAGAATGAGTCTGAAAGAGTCAAGGGTTCCAAAATAGAACCCTAGTTCAAACACATAACCAAACCTCGGTAGAACCCCCAAATTCTAGGGTTTCCAACTCGAGTCAAGCACAGGGATGTGGAGGCAACAGACTCAGAGATTTCTTTTCTGAATTCTCATGAGAAGACAAGCAAATACAATAGAAAGTTCGAAGCATAATGAGAGTAGAAGAAACAACAGAGGAAAACATGCTTAAACGGGTATTAAAACGAGGTAAAGTAGAAGTGAAACAGTAAACACTTAAGAACATGGTAGAGAAATACAGTAGAAGAACACCAGAACAGTATAGCAAAAGAACACATAGGAAAACACAGTGAGATAAACATGTGAGAGCATGGTATAGAAACACAATAGAGGAAAGAACGGAGCACAGTAGAAGAACATGCATGATAAAGGAAAACATAAGAACACGGTAGAAGAACATGCGTGGTAGAAAAGCAAATATAAGAACATAGTATAGACAAATACACACAAAGAAAAGAAAAAGAAAAGTCAGAGAAACATTTTGAACCCTTCAGAAAACCCTAAATCGAAGAGAAGTGATTTTTAAAAGATAATTTTGGAAGAAAAAATTGGGGAAATTGTTTAAAAACTCAAGTAGAGCACAAATATATAACAGATCTAAGAAAAATCAGAGAAAACCTCGAATAGCTAGGGTTTCAGAAGAACCCTAAAACGATAAAAGGCTTTGAAAATGTCCGATCTTGGTCGGAAAGTTCAGAGATAGGCTCATAGGACCAGGATACGCCGGAGCAAGGCCATCGATGGCCGTGAAAACTCGAGCTGGCACAGGTCTGGATGAAGACCTTCGAGGTCTGGCCTTGATTTTTCAAATATCGAGCACACAGGAGTAATAGGGAGTGAGTATAAGGTTACCATGGCCGGAGGAGCCATGATTTCCGGTGGGTCTTGAGGTTGGAGATGGTGAGAGAGGCTAGGGTTTCGAGAGAGTTCGAGAGAGTTTGAGAGGAGAGGGATTTCAGAGGCGGCTGATAGAAGAGAATGAGGGAGATTAGGGTAGTCTTTGGGAATTAAAAAGGTAAGGAATAATCGTGGTCGTTGATCAAAATGATCAATGGCCTGGATTAAAAGAAAGAGCCGGGCGGGTTAAATTGGTTGGGTCGGGGCCGGGTTGGATTGAAATTGGGTCGGTCCGTTAAGGGTTTGAAATTGGATTAATTAGGGGATCAATTTGGCTATAATTGAAATGCAAATGAGGCTATCAGTTAAATAGCCACTTTTCCCTTTTAAATTTATAAAAAATAGTAAAATGATTTTCTGAAACAAATTGAAAGCACTATATTAATTAATAATATATAATCATTGATTAAAAAATACTGGGATAAATTTTATAATTATAAGATGCTGTTAATTCTTAAAATAGGCTAAAATCGCAATTATATGCAATTTAGCTTTTAAAATACCAAATAAATTTGTAGAAATGTATGAAAATTACCCTAGCTATATTTTGGTATAAATATGAGAATAAAATAAGTTATTCACCAAAATGATAATTTTGGGAATAATTATTGGTTTTTGTACTGCTAAAATGGGCAATAAATTGATTTAAAAATTCTTTAAAAATTAGAAAAAAATACTAAAACACTTGGGCATACTTATATATGCTGTTTTTAAAGTATTTGCATGTAAAAAATACATTGAAAAAATTGGGTATCAACAATGATCGGGGATGAGGTTGAATGTGACCCCAGGATGGTATCTAGTTGATTTGAGCCGGCCACTTTTCTATGGAGATTGCAATGTTAGGAACAATTTAATTTTAGATTTTCTCGGGATGATCAAAATCTAAGTGTGGTGGTGTTTGATGAGAATAAAATTACTCGACATTTATCCCCACTTTGTGTCTTTGATTTGGTTGATTTTGATAGAGATTTAGCCTGATTTTGGTCTAATATGTTGTCTTTCAGTGCAGGTGGTGCAGAGGGGATCAATGGACATATAGTGCACGAAGTGGGAGGAAAACAAGCTGAGAGGAGGAGGAAATTCTCGTGCGCAGCCGCGAACGAGCAACCCCAAATGCGCACTTGAGCGTGCAAGTGCCACAGAAATCTGGCTGATATGTGCGGCCATATGCACGACCGCGCACGTCCGTCTCCAGGAATTTTAGCCAGGCCTATTTTTGTAAATTTGGAGGCATTCTTTTGACCTATATGAAGCCTAAACTCGTCCCAAAACAGGGCATCTTGGATTTTGGGAGCAACTTTTGGAGAACAGAAGGCAAGGAAACAACATAGACTTTGAATACTTCATCTGAATCATTCAATACAAAAGTTTGTTTGAATTCATGGGTTGTAATATTTTCTCGTCCTCTTAATACTCGTTTGATGAACAATTTCTCCACTATGGAGTAGTCCTTCTTAGGGTTATTGACAGATATTGTGAATTGATTATTATTTGATGATTTGCTTTCTGTTAGTTGCTTGAATTAGTTGAATAAATTTTGAATTAAATTACAAAGTTGTTTGGGGTTTCACTTTAATCAAAAGAGAAATGTTGCTGCAATTATCATTGTGTTATCTTGTAGGAGTAAATTTCACGATTTTCATAGGTATTCGAAAGAGCTTCTGGAGTTATCAATTGACCAAATCTAGAGGAATAGTCAAGAGACGTTCTTCGTAAGATCATTCATTCAACGTATTTTTGTATATGTTCATAGCACTTGTCATTAGGTTGTTAACAGAATTCTCATTCATTCGTAAGAAAAATTTGAATCCTTAAGATATCCTAATCATCTATTGAAATCGAGAGAGTCAATAGAACTTAAGAGTGAACTTAGCACAGAGTTATCCCGAATAATAATTGATCAGATATCTTGTCAAAACCATTATTTCTCACATTGATATTCAATGTTGCTACTTAGTAACTACCAATTTATATTATTCGTTCATAATTGATAATCTTAGTTTTACTTTTAGTTCGTTGATAACTCAAAATCAAAGGTTTATTTTCCTGAATAGTATTAAGCTGAAAATTTCTTTGAACATTATTTAAACCAATTCACGTGAAGATGATTTAATTACTATACTATCTTTGATTAGCAAACCTAAGTTTATACACCGATTTTACGCTATTCAAGAGCACCACCCTTTGAACTAATCACAATTGGTTTTCGTCCAACTTGCAATTTGCTGCAATTTGCAAATTGCAAAGCAAATCTTGTTACAACCGTCCAAAACTTGTTATTCCATCATCTCTCTTTCTTTTTTTTTCATTATGGGGTTGAACCCCACATTACCACTAATAACATTAGCTGACCGGGATGAAAATCTAATTGCGAGCCACAGGTATCGACCTATGTGCTTCTTGGCAATAGTTTTCAAAACCAGGGTATTTTGGTCATTTAGCAAGCTTTGGTACACGTGTCTTAAAAATTCGGCTTCTTTATCTTCTTTGAGTCCATTTTGTAGAATCCTTGGCCGACCACCCCAAAATTCATTGCTCAACTTTTTCGTTCCACCTCCGCTTCAAAACTTTTGCTCTGTTACTGATTCGCTATGCCAAATCGTTGTACCTTTTTTGCTTCAAATTTGTCTGCGTTATTTTCGGTATGACAATATCCATCACTTTCGGTATAACACTTCTCAAAGATATTGTGGTTTAATTAACTTTGATTCTATATTTAAGTTGCATCTGTTAACAGATATTTGCATCATCAAACTTGTGATGCATAACAATGAAGTAAATTCGTATTATACGTTTTTGCATGAATTTTGTTTCAAACATTTTCTTTTAACCCTGTATTCTATTGCACATACTTAATTTATAGTCTATAAAGCTGCTTACGTGATCTGAGGACATAATGGTTTCTTCGATATCATAGTCATTTGATTTATTTGAATACCTTACATGTATTTTGTTTAATGATTATAACCTTAGAAACATCCAACATGGTGATATTTGGCTAGAGAAACCAGCATAATGGTTAATGGTTATAGCTGTCTGTGCGAATCTTTTCATCTCACACAATTAGAAATCCATAATCACATATATTGTCAGTATACTGTTGCTATTTCTACTTGGTGGCTTCTCATTGGTTTTGGGAGTTTCTTCTTCTATATGGAAGTGAATTTTTCATGTTGACGGTGTAATTTGTAGTGTTTGTGCTTTGAAATACTTTGCAATAGGTTCTTTTTGGTCATCTTTATTCAAGTTTTATTTCAAAAACTGAGATTATATTTTGTCTTTTTTTATTACATGATACTAAACTGTAAACTTTTGGGGCTTAACAATAATAATCTTCAAAATCTCAAACTAATTTAGAGTTTTTAAGCCTAAGAGATCACATTAAAGAAGCTTGACAAAATGACATTGTAACTCTCTTCATTAGCTTTTGTTTTTGGATGTCCAATGGAGAAAGAGGAGAAAAAACATGAGAACTTGGGCTATAAGTCAATGGTGTTCTCCCCGGTCGGAGGTGAGAACTTAAAACTACATACTGTTCAAGTGTAAGATTGATGTATTTATGATTTCTTTTGTTCTCTAAATTTACGATGTTGTATTGTTTATAGAAACAGTGCAGGAGATACAACTTGATGCAGTTAAATTCGGTTGAATAGGGTGGTGCATACATGTATATTTTGCTATCCCACATGAACTAAATTCTTTCGAACAATATATTCTGGTTTTTGGATGTTTGTAGATACTATTGACATTATGTATTTTGTGCTTTTCTATATACTTATAACATTGAATGGTGGAGTTTTGTATGTTGTTTATCTGGAATATATATTTTTTCTAAAAAAGTAGATATGCCCATGAGTCAAGCCATAGAGATAAAATGATCTGCAATAGACTCTGGTGTGATGTTGATGATGATGGCTCTTTGGTGTGCTTAAATTTGGTTCTTCTCTAAAATTTGTTCACGTAATCATTTTTGGTTTGCTGTATTATGAATATGTTGCCCGGACTCTTCGATGGTATCTTTGGATGCACGTTGGATCCTCTAAAAGTAGTATATTTGCGGAGGACCCGACACGAATGCGGTATTATTTTGGAGAGTGTGCGACATCGATTATTATGAAACGAGCTTTCTTACAGTCAGGGGTAGAATTAACATATTATCATTTGAGTGGAATCTTCCGTTAGTACACCAAGGTTAATTAGGAGTCATAATGGACCTTAATTTGGAGTCATGATGGTATATAACGCAACTTTCTTAAAAGATTGGAGTTGGATGTACTAAAATAATGATATGTTCTTTGAGTTCCGTCTTCTCAAGATTGGTTCTACTATTGCCGGCCTACTCTTTCAGGTGTCAAAAATAGCTTTATTTACTGTTATTCTCATGATGATAACTTTTGTTTAGTGTAGATATGTACTTAAATTTTTTATTTTTGTGGTTTTACTATTGGACTATATACCTTGAACATTCTCATATGAGAAACATGAGTTATAAAGCTAAGATATACAAAAGTATCGCAGATTTGTGATGAACTTCAAGTGATGCATAGGCCATTGTCCTATAGACAGAAGACTAATTGTTTTATACTATATTTTATCTAGCTGTTAGGATACAATGCATAAGAATTATTCCTTATTTTGGTTTAAACTGAAAAAGGGATATTTGGCAAGGATCTTTTGCAATATAGTACAAAGTGAAGAGAATAATGGAAGGTCAATTTCCAGTTGACAAGGGGATGATTTTGAAGCTAAAGCTATATGAGCAGTGGGATCACAGAGTCATCATCATAAGTTGTTGGTAACCTTCATTACTTTTTATAATGTTAAGTACGATTAAGCAAACTACATTATAGTTTAATTGGATTGCACGTCCACTTCGTACAAGATTCAGAGAGATCATTGTGTCTGCTTTGATGGGCCTAAATATTAATTTCATATTAGCTCAACTTCGTACGCATTGATTGCTAGGCCTATTCTTTGTAGATTATCTTTGAAAATCCAAATAGCTATTTTATGGTGCTTCCTTTATAATGGTTACAAGCCTGAACGTCTTCGTTTCTTTATGCACTGCACAACTTTCTCCACTATTGAAAGCGTTCTATTGCAAGTGGTGGTGTTTTTTATGTTTCTTCCTTACTAATCCCTCCATCTAAATATTAGTGATTTATTTTTGCTCTTTTCCTGCATGTCATACTTCTAAAGTCAGTGGTTCAAGGCATCCTCCAAAAAATAGAATGATCAAAGCAAGCTTCCAACAGTGTGAAGCAATCAAAAAGATACTTACCTTGATCTTCGATTCCCTTAATCATGTTGATCATGGAAAGCTACTTTCTTATGTGCAGTTTTTTCCATAAGAAGTTATGGAGCCCCCTTTTGACAGACTTTATTGTTATTTTTATTATATTTTTAACTGTAATTATATTCATTTCTCAAGCATTAGCCTAAATATAGATGAGGCATTGAGTTGCTGACTTGACCTAGAACAAACCTTACTATGGTCTTTGCTATTATTGAAAACTTTCCTGGAACCAAGACTTGTAAGTTAAGTTTAATTTACGCTGTAAATTGTTTATTGCTTGCAGATGACTTTGGCAGACACGGGGAAAATTATTGACGTAGAAGGATAGCAAAGCTACACCGCGCTTGGTTGAGTTGCTAGGTTAATTGGCAAAAGTAGTTATCAGGAAACTCGTGAGAACACGTGCCTCATTGTCATTTTTGTACTTGATCATTCCAGTAATCTGTCAAATAATAAATTTTTACATTAAGGTTTAGGTTTAAATGTAAACGCTTTCTAAGTCGTGAACTTTCATTTTCACAGTTATCCATTCTTGAACTAGGCATCTGTCGGAGTAATTGCTTTTTTCGTCAACCAGTTTGTCATTTCTGGATATATATATATATATATATATATATATATATATATATATATATATATATATATTCAGTTTTTTGACCTTTGAAAGAAGGGCAGATCTTGAAGAAGCAAAGCGACCCTAGATTAGCAGCCTATTACGTTTTTTCAGGCCCCTTTAATATGTTAATAGTCAAGTGCTAGCAACCCTTTAATTTAGAGTAAGTCTTTTATGTTATCAACCAAACCGAAAGAAAGGAAAAAAAATAGTGTGTTCCGTATTGATCGAGACTTGTGTCTTGATTCGTTATTCATTCCATACTGGAAGAATTGGAGGAAATCGTTTGATAACATTACTTCATATTTCTTTCTCAATGATACTCGGCGATCAAGACAATTTTCGTAAGACTCTTTCATTTCATAGAAGTGAATTCTTAATTATTCTTACAAAATAATAGCATTTCCTATTGATTTTGTCTCTTGGACTTGACCTACTGATTCTAAATTATCCGTCGCTACGTTGCTCCCAAGGACAAGCAAAATCGAAATAGCAAAATTTTTGGAGGCGCGGATCCCTAAACAGTGCAAATTCCGGAGGAGCAGATCCAGCCCAAGCGCTATAATAAGACAAATTCAGGCATAAATCAATAAAACATGCTGCAACGTGCAGCCCGAGCTCATAAATATCACACATAATCAGGCACTCGACCTCACTTAGTTATCAATATCTCCAGTCTCTCGGGCTCACTATGTCATGAATATCAGCCCAAGAAGATGTTACGATGCATAAATGAATGGCAACAGAGACTAAAAATCACGTTATACAACACTAAAAATACAAATTGCACTCCAACCTAATCAAAACTAATGAATTCCAGCTTCTACGATCGATGCCGAAACCTATTAAATCATTCCGATTGACCTCAAAATTTGCACACAAGTCATAAATGACATAACCGAACTATTAAAATTTCCGAAAATAAAATCCGAGCTCGATAACCACGAAGTCAGCTCTCGGTCAAACTTCTCAATTTCTAAAACTTTTAATTTTCCAACTTTCGCCGTTTCAAGCCAAATTCGAGTTCGGACTTTCAAATAAATATCCGGACACACTCCTAAGTCCAATATTACCATACGGAGCTATTGGAACCGTCTAAATTTCATTTCGAAGTTGTTTACACATAAGTTATCATCCGGTCAATTATTTCAACTTAAACTTTTAATCTTGGAACTAAGTGTCCCATTTCATTTCGAAACGTCGACGACAAATCACATAATCACAATTGAATTGGTATTTAAATGCTTAATTGTATTTAGTCTTGTATTGTTGGTTGTACTTTCTGTTTGGCAAGTCGTGTAGTTCTAAAAGTAGATTTGGCCATGAAAATATTTTTTAGATTCCCACGGATTTCCCACCGACTCCGCGGGAATTTTGTCCATATTTTTTCAAGAATTTTAATATTTCCCGCGATTTTTGTGGGAATGTTCATATATTTATTTTCAGGTTATGCATATTTTCCACTGCTTCCATCGGTAAAATAAAAAAAAATCTAAATTATTTTTAATAGGCAGAATAGCCTGGTAGACACTTGTACTTGTTCGTGTTTGTCATCCCGGTCCCTATACTTGATAAAGTTTCGTCCAGACACTTATAGTTGTTCAAAATCGATATTTTAAACCCCTCTGACCATTGACCAAGTCTACGTAGCAACTTAATCACTGAAGTGGACAAAATACGTGTATTTCACGCATATAAGGAGGGTGGAAATAAAAATTTAATGATTAAAATAAGGAAAAAATAAAAGAAAAATACAAAAAATCAAATTAGGAAAAGAAAGAATGAAGGTGCCTAAGCTCTCCGTCTCTGCTTCTCTTAGTTCTGCGGCCCACCAACCCCCCCCCCCCCTTCCTCCACGTTACTCCTCTTCCCCCATTTTAACCCAACACTGCCAATAACACAGCCCTTCCCTTCACATCTACATCCACCACAGATCCAAAACCTCTACTAGATTAGCAGCAGTTTTTGGGGAATTTTTTTTTCACATCCCTATTCCCTTACTTTGGAAGATAGCCTTTGCAAAGAAAAGAAATAGAAATAGTGGAAGAAGATTGCCTGTGAAACCTATTTTCAATTCGTTTTCATGTAGCAAAATTTCAGATTGTTTTGGGTGATGTTGGTCTTTTGCGTAGTCATTTTTTATGGCAGGTTCTTTTTCTGGTGGTTGATTGGTGGTACAACGGTGGAGTGTTGGTTGTGAAGAAGCTTTGTAGGTGAAGGGTGGTCTGTTTTCGATGACTCTTTAGGTTGACGAATGGATCTGTTTTGATTATTGTTGCTGTGTTTCGCTATTTGGATTTAATCGAATTTTGGGGAGGAGACTCAAAGGCTTGTTTGTTGAGAATTTTCGAAATTCCATTGTTGGTCTTGCGAAGAACGAATCTATTGATTTGAAACCTCAAGTTGTTGCTTACATAGTACTAAAACTCAGCTGGGTATTGAAATTTAGACTTGAAAATGCGATAAACATTTGTGTTTGAGGATCAAAACTGGAGGGACAAGCAGAGACGCCATTAAAGCTCGCTTGAAGCTTCTGGGTATATTCAGGTTTAGAAGAAAGAACCTACTGTATCTCTTTTCTATGGGTTCGGTATTTGTGTAGGGTAGCCAGTCCTATTTTTCAATAGTTTATTTTCCTATGTGGCACTAGTAATGATGTGGCGTCCTACGTGTAGGAGATTGTATTACACACACTGGTAGCTCATGTCATAAGTGTTTATTATACACGATTTGAACGAGTGTAAGTGTTCAATTGGCAAACTGATAAATTTGGAGACCGGCATGATAAAGTGGCACAAGTATAAGTGTCATTTAGGCTATTCTGCCTTTTTAATACTTTCCACATATTCGGTGGGAAACTTAAAAAAATTTAATTATTATATTTTCTTACTTTTCCCATGACGGTCGTGAGAAAATACTCTATGTGACCCCCACCAAATTCTCGTGAAACATTTCGTGGGAAACTTCCTGGGAATTACCCACGAATGACCTGGAAAATTATTTTTCCACCAGCCATTTTTCCACTGAGCGTCTCCCCTGGAAATATCGTGGGAATATTTAAATTTCACACAGATTTTTCACTAATTCTTCCGTGGGAAAAGACTGTATTTCTAGCATTGTATGGGCTCAATGCTTGTTGACACAAATGAGAGGTTGCAAGCCATGAGATTCCCCTTTTCCACAAGAGTTGCAAAATGTCAAACCTCCCAAGCAGACACTAATTATGGCACCCATGGAGAGCATGATTATGGGTTTTGCAAAGTTTTACCAGGCAAAAACGACAAAAGAAAGAGAATCAACTAAGACTAAAACAAAGAGAAGGGAGGAGAAGGACAAAATCAGGCAGGCCATGCTTTATACACTTCAGTCTTTGAACAATAAAGTTCTATCCATAGAGAGTGTAGTCCAGGATATGGATAGCATAGTGAGGAGGTTAGAGAGTCATAGTGTGGGTCCATCTGGACTACAAGATGACTCCCAAATTTGTGGAGATGAGGCCCGAGCTGCAGCCTTGAGCAAAGATGACAGAGTGAAGAGTGAGCCGCTTACTGATGAGCACACAGTTGCCCCGCTCACTCTCCCACAAGAGTATTTAGGACACCACATCTAGGAGAGCTAAGCGCTGATGAGCTCAAATCAGTTCGGATGCCACCCTGCTTGAATTGAGGGAGTACTTCTTTACCCGACCCTTACTTGTTTAGATTGCATTGAGGGCAATGCAAAATTTTATGTATGGGGGACGGGTATTGATGAGTTTTGATATGCTTGACACTTTTTGATGCCATTATTTGATGTTATGATTTTTTTATAGTTTTTTCTTGTCTTTTATTTTTTTTTTATCTTTTATTTTACGTTTTCTAGGATTTAGCAACGACCTCTTTGGGTTTTCTTTACCATGGTTCTTCTCAATGATGTGTGATGACCCAAAAGATCATCACTCATTTTAAAAGTAAATTCTGTGGTTCGAGGCCTTAAAAACCTCTTTTTATCTCACCTCGATTTGCGTGGCAGTCTGGGCGCATTTCCGGGAAGCTTTTATGTGAAAACTAAGTAAAATATGGAAATTGGCTTTTAAAATTGAATAAAGTTGACTTTGGTCAACATTCTTGATGAACGGACCCGGTCTCGTGATCCGACGGTCTCGTAGGGTCCGTAGTAAAATATGGGTCTTGGGCGTATGCCCGGAATCAAATCCGAGGTCCCAAGCCCGAGAAATGAATTTTTAAAGAAAATTATTTTCTGAAAAATATAAAGGTTTTTAGAAGTGAATTGATGCATTTTCTTGATGGTATCGGGTTCGTATCTTGGTTCCGGAGCCCGGTAATGGTTTGGTATAAAACGGATCTATAGTTGAGAAAATAGTAATTTTGATGTTCTTGAGTGATTTCATGAAATTGAGGTTTAATTCATAGATGTTGATGTTATTTTGATGATTTGATCGTACGAGCAAGTCCGTATGATGTTTTTGGACTTGTGTGCATGTTTGGTTTGGAGCCCCGAGGGCTCGGGTGAGTTTTGGATAGGCCACGGAGTGAAATTGGACTTAGGAAAAAGTTGCTGGTATCTGATATTTTGCCCAAGCCTCTGATCTCGCAATTGCGAAGTCCTCTGGCACGGGAATTGCGACCCAGGTGTCACAAATGCGAACCGAGCCTGGGCAGGCCTTAGTCGCAAATGCGACCCTTCCATCGCAAATGCGAAGCTTAATGGATTTTCCCAATGTCGCAAATGCGACAGATTCTTCGCATTTGCGAAGGTAGCAGGTCCTGAAGGGGTTCGCAATTGTGAACCCTGGTCGCAATTGCGACATCTGAGACCAGCTAATTTGGACTTAGACGCATTTTTCTTCATTTTTCAAACCTTCTCAAAACCTAAACACTCTTGGACAATTTTCTAAAAGAAAAGTTCTTCTCCAAACCAATTGTAAGTCA